TCTACCTTACTCATAAAAGAACCCTATTTTAATTTTACGATTTATTTCCAACCTCTAAGGATTTTCGATACCATTCAAAGGTTGTCTCGTAATTTTTTCCCGCCCTCATTCCAATCTCATAAAAATCCTAACTTGATAAACCTTTGAGAACGACCTTTTGTATATCATTCGAACGCTTTATTGACACCTCCATCCATTTTCATAAAATCAAACTAAAGGGTATTTTCAGTTCTTTTTAATATATATATATATTTTTTTTATTATTTGACAAAATAAATTAATCTGTTTCGATCATTTAATTTAAAATTTTAAAGTTATAAAAAAATTCATTTGGCACCATAAATCCAAAGTATGGGAATAAGATTACAAAATTCAATCAAGTTTATTTCTTTTTACTTTATAAATGAAGTGAATAATTAAATTGTCTTTAACTTTCGATATTTTAAATTTTTTTTTTGTAATTTCATGTAAGTAAAGTATTAAACCTAATTTTTGTATATTCTTATTTAAATATTTTTTTTTAAATAATTTACGATTCAAAATGGTTATAACTAGCGTATAATCAAAATAAAATTAGTATTAAAGAAACCAGTAAATAATTTAACCATAAAAAAGGTAAATTAGTTAAAGCTTCACCAAAAAATTTTAATTACATTTAGTGAATTTATTTTATTGGATTATTTGCCAGTTACAAATCTCACTATTAAAGCAATTTCACTTGCTCAAAGTGCTAATTTTCAAAATCTTCCAAATTTAAATTATCCAATGGCTTGATTGTTTTTAAATCATTATAATCGCCGTACTTAATGTAACAATTACATGAAAATTTAGAAGAAAAAAGCAAAATTTTCTTAATTATATTATAAATCATCGTAATTTAATTGGAAATATGGACGAGACTCTATTCATTTTTGATTTTCCAAATCCGATAAATGTGGAGCTCGTATAGTTTTTATTCGTATCAAAGGCTACGAAAAAAGTTTCTTTCACGCCTTACAAACGAAAAAGGTAAGGTCAATGAAAATGAAATGATCTGGACTCAGTTTAACTAATTTATCTTCATTTTTGTAATAAAAATACAAAATTAGCTGTATAATTTTAATATTTGTTTTATAAATTTAAAGATCCATTAATATTATCTATGATTAACTTCATTTTCCTTTATATTCATCAGATTTAAAATTACAAATCTTGAAATTCTTCATTTTTGATTATATTTTATTAAAATGATTTAATTAAATTATTTTATTTTACAAAAACTAAATTTTTATATATTTTTTTTTATAAAATTTTGTTATAAATAACATTATATCTATAAGAATTTTATATTCAGAAATGATTTATATTAAAACTTTATTTGATCGTTATTAAAATCTAACATTCAATTATTGACATCTACCATTATAGATAAATCTATATTAGTTCATATTTAAATTGCAATTATGAATATCGATATGTCATATTACCTCTTAATTGTAATGAGCTAGAAATTCCTAATTCAATTAATTGAGAATCTTGAAATTCTGTTAAAATGCACTGAAATTAATATTTCGTTATCAAATAAAAAAGTTAAGAATATATTACCTTCATTATTCTCATCCTTTTTAAGATATGAGGTGATCAGAGACGAATTAATAGGTTTTGTCAAATTTTTAAATGTAAATGCTCTGCTTGTATATATAGCATCAGGATTCGTTTTACGTGAAATTGAAATATTTGGTATCTCTTTATCTGCCTCTTCAAATGCTTCCTTTATTTCTTTTCCATAATATCCATATTCTTTGGTATCTTTAAACTCTTCATAATAATAAATAGAATTTTTCCAAAAATCCAGTATATTAAACAACTCATCGCTCGTTGGTCTTTGATTTGGACTTGCATCCATACATCTATAAGCCAATTTCTTATAAAATTCAGGGGTTCCTTTTCCAAATTCTGGACGAAGTCCATTACAAACATCCAAGGCTAAAGATAAATCATGATTTCTATTATAAAATGGAGGATTTCCAGTTGAAAATTCAGCCAAAATTACACCAAAACTGTAGATATCAGAAGCCAAAGTATATAAACCACCATTCAAGACTTCTGGAGCGATATATGGTAATACTCCATATATTTTATCATCCGATTTTTGCTTATCTGCTGGTCCGCATAATCCAAAATCTGAAATATAAGTAAATAAATAACTTAGCAATATATTTCCACTATGAAAATCCTTATGGCAATATCCTAATTTATGTAAATGGTAAAGATCATTAGCTAAAAAGTATAAATTTTGAATTTTATATTTCCATAACAAGTTGTTAAAATTATTTGAAAGATAATTTCTCAAATTTCCATCAGGTGCAAATTGTATGATCATAATAAAATCTTTGGTTTCCGGATCCTTAGTTATCCCATAAAATTCTAATGCACCATCTTGACAAATATCCCAATGAGCTTTAAGCTAGTTTTGTAATAAATATTTAAACAAAATTAGAAATGTTCTTAATTAATTAAAATATATAAATGTGATATACCTCACTAAAATATTTAGCTGACATATCCCATGATCCATTTAACCTTTTCAAAGCAACCTTCATAGTTTCAGGATCCGATTTTTTCCAACTTTCATCATCTTGCTCTTCAAATTTTGAATTACCATCGATCCATGTTGCAGAATACACTTTGGCAAATCCTCCTTCACCAATTTCTTCTATATCTGTGAATCTATCAAAAGACACCCATTCAAGAAAACCTGAATATCTATCATGTCTTGATGAAATTATCAATTTCAGAATTTCCACTAGTCCATCCTTCAATCATACATCGAGGGTCACATTCTTTACACCATAATTTCTCGGCAAATGGTTTATCGCAATAAGAACAATTCTTATCTGAGACATTTAATTTGTTGAATTCAGATTCTATTAGGTCATGAACTTCATTTTCATGACTATTTGCATCCATTTTTTACTTATTTATTTTTTTTTTTTAAAAAAAAATTCTGGGTAAATTTGTAAAAATGCTTATTTCAATAAGGATATAAAAGGAATTATCTCGACCAAAATTAGATCCGAACATTGCAGTGGTACAAAATCATAACGTGATCGGATACTGCGGTAATTATCAAATATGCATTTTTAACTTTAATAAACTTATCGAGTGCGAAACGTTCTTGAAGGTTGAAAATTCAAACTCAAAAACATCAATAATATTGTAATTAAAGGGTTTCGGCTTACTACAGGAATGAATTTCTAGTAAGGTTTTGTTTGCCAAAAGTTATTTTCAAAGTAAAAATGGCTACATAATTCCATTGTGACATTACTAGCTGACGAAGCTTAATTATCAATCATTGATTGATAAGCATCAACTCTTTCTATAGATTTTTCCATAATAGTAAAACTTTATGTTTCAAAAACTTAATTTTACTAGTATCAAAATAAAATTTATCATCCCGCCTACATAGTCCTTTACTCTATCGATTTGGTTACTCCAACCTACAGATTTCCAACCTCCTTTAAGAAATATTGTTGCAAAGTTACTTCAATATTCCGAAAAATTAGTAAGGGAACGAAAGTTTGCAGAGCAAAAGGAACGAAAAATAAAACAGTCCGCGCCTTACTTTCATGCTTGCCTCTGTATGTAGATTAATCATGATGCCCACAAGAGATTAAAACAAAAGACAAGTTAATTGTTTCATTTTTATGAGTTTTATCCGCACGTCCGATAATTCTGGTATTTTTGAATATCAGGGATAAACTTTTTTTTGAGCTGACAATACCAATTATCGTTCCCTTTTTGGATTTCATTGCCGTAGAAGTCACGATATAATAGTCACTAAAGACGCCCTTTGGATGATAAAAAAAACAATAAAAATGAAATTAATTTTTTTTTTTTTTTTTTTTCCTTCTTCCAATATTATTATTTACTTTTTTTTTTTTTTTCGATTATTATTTCTTGGAAAAACCAACCTGTTTAGTGATTACGAGTTTTAATGATAAAGTCAAATCCGAAATTACTATTTGGTAAAGCCAAGTTTATGTATAATTATAATGATTGTATAAATAGAATTTGATCCCAAAATAAAATCTTTTAAAGCTCATATTTTGTGCAAAGTTAAGTTAATAGAGAACAATTAAAATATAATTTGCCAAATTATAAAAAAATGTGCATTTCATTTCATTTTTTTGGTCATAAAAATACATCAATATTCATATTTTTTTATTTCACATGCCACTATCCGGAGATTCCCTGCGAGATTATTTGGATTTCGTATATATCGTAAGAGATACTCTTTTTAATCGAGGAGGATTTGGTAAAGGTCCAGGAGGTATAAATCGTTGCTGATTTTTCAACAAGTATATCCTCTTGAAAATCCAAATATCCATTTATTTATCCAGAAACAACATATTGAAACACTATCCGTAACTCCTTTTCATTAGTTTAATTTCTGATGGTTTTCTTCTGCTTTAAATTCTATTCTCCAGATTGGTACATAATCTTTCGATCAAAATCCATCGAAAAAAACGTTGTTTGGTATTTCCCTATTCCTTTGCTCAAATGTCACAAACTAAACGATTATAACTACATAGCAGTGTATTTTCCGAACCATGATAAGTTTGTCCTGACATTTGCTTGGTAGTCTTACCGTTAATCCAAGAACGTCGCCGCCATTCTCAAATCATCGATAATGATTCGAGCGAAACTAGATAGAAGGAGACCCTCCAAAAAAACGTATTATATCCGGTGTAACCTGGATGACAGTTTCCATTTTAGATAAATTATACAATCTTTGAACTTTTTGTAGATCAAAATAAATCGAGTATTACTACAAAAGGAAAAAGGTTAACATTGCTTGCTTTTTTAACGCAAAATTACTGCGGAAGTTTCATTTACATTCAAAAAATAGTTAATTTCAAAAGAAAGAAAAAAAAGGTTTATAATATAAAAATTCTCATATTTATACAAATATTCAAAAATACAGATAATAAATAATAAATCATATAATTATTCAATCATTATAGTTTTGCAGAAAGAGCAGAAACTCCAGGCAATTCTTTGCCTTCAAGTAATTCAAGAGAAGCACCGCCACCAGTTGATACATGTGAAATCTTATCTTCAGCATTCCATTTAGCGGCAGCAGTTGCAGTATCACCACCACCTACAATAGTTGTAGCTCCTTTTTGTGTGGCTTGAATTACTGCATCTAAGGCCGATTTTGTACCAACTGCAAATTTATCAAATTCAAATACCCCTGTAGGACCATTCCATAGTATAGTTTTAGCCTCAAGAATTGCTTTTCTGAAAAGTTCATTTGTCTTTTCTCCTGAATCTAATCCTAACCATCCATCTGGAATTCCTGTCTCATCCGTAGCATATCCAGTCTAAAACAAAAGGTAAATCTTTGTTAAATTAAAATTGTTTATTTGATACAATAAAACATTATACTTACGTTAGCATCCTTGTCAAATTTGTCTGCTGTTACATAATCTATTGGGAAAACCAAATTCACTCCTTTTGTTTTGGCTTTTTCAACCAAATTAGCAACTGTCTTGGAACCTTCTTCATCAAATAAAGAATTTCCAATCTGAGAGAAAAAGAATTGGTTAAATAAATTATTACTACGCTGAATTTAATATTATTTTTTTTTATTCTTACCTTTACACCATCAAGGGTTTTCTTGAAAGTGAAAGCCATTCCACCTATTAATTAACAAAAAAAAAAAAATTAATATTTATATTAGTAAAGGCAATAACCTATGATATAGAATTTACCTGTAATTATCATGGAATCAACTTTGTCGAGGAGGTTATCAATCAATTTAATTTTGTCAGAAACTTTGGCGCTATAAAGTCATAATTCGAGACACTAATAAATTTCACTTTCGATTCCAAAATGAAATTTAAAAATTAAATAAATAAATAAATAAATGTTTTACCCTCCAAGAATGGCCAAGAAAGGTCTTTCGGGATTTTCCAAAGCTTTGCCAAAGAAATCTAGTTCCTTTTTTAATAAGAAGCCAGCAGCGCGATTGGGAAGTTCTACACCGACCATGGAACTATGTGCTCTATGTGCCGTTCCAAAAGCATCATTGACATACACATCTCCAAGTTTTGAAAGAGATGCTCGAAATTTATTTACTTCTTCGGGTTTGGCTTTGACCTGACAAGTAGTATGAAAAACGATTAGGGCAAACAATTTAAGTAAAATCAACAAATCATACGTTTATATATTCGATTACTTTGTTTCCTGCATCATCTTTGGCAGAACCTTCTTCTTCGATATGAAATCTGAGGTTTTCAAGTAGGATAACTTGACCTAATTGTCATGATTGAATCATAAAATATGTCGTAAATTCTTTTGTATCATAAAAAAAAATAATAATTAAAATATACACCTCCAGTTGCATTGGACGCTGCAGATTCAACGTCGGGGCCTACACAATCATTTAAAAACAAAACTTCTTTCTCAAGTAAACGACCGAGTTCATCGGCAACAGGTTTCAATGAATATTTAGGGGTTGATTTTCCATTTGGACGACCCAAATGAGACATTAGGATAACAGCTTTAGCTCCTATTTAGAATATAAGGAAATCACGATTAATTACAGGAATTATGTTTATGATATTGAAAAGCAAACATTAATTACCATTTTCCAAAGCATATTGAATAGTAGGTAAAGCTGCGACGATACGTTGATTATTGGATATTTTGCCATCTTGGAAAGGAACGTTAAAGTCAACGCTATAAAATAAGAAATGAATTTTAAAAAGTGCAATTACGATATTTCTCAAAAGGGGTTTTTTATTTACCGAATCAAAACACGTTTATTTTTGACATCAATGTCTTGAATGGAAATTTTGTTGCTAAGACTGGTTTTAGACATTTTCGCAAGTAAAAATTGCGTCAAAATAACAGAGAACGAAAAATTTTCAACAAATTCTTGACGTGCCTGAATCAGTCGATTTTTTTTTGATCAGTCGATTTTAGATCTTGTAGGACAAAATTAGATTACCATAATAATGGAAATATTTACGTGTCACTGACTCAATTGTTTATCATATTCATTTGGTTTCAACCCTTTTTAGCATAGCAATTTAACATAAGTTTTATATATGTATATATTTCAAAATTTAATTTTATTAAAGACTGACGAGAGGTTCAAATCGACTACGGAATATAGAAGCTTACTGGATTTTACCTGGGAATCTTTGAAAAGTTTCTCGAGTTGAACGAGTACGCCCTGATGATATACGCCCCGATGATCGACTTTTTTTTCTAAAATGTGTCGAAATGCATAAGCACCAAGCCTAAAAAAAAAAAAAAATATATTCATCCAATTAATTTAAAAGGAATTGAAGATAATTTTAAAAAGCCATTAAATACCACACAATTTCCTCTTTTTTAAAAGTGCATCCACTATATTTGTTCAGTACCCGATATGCTGAGTCAAAGGTGTTGTGAACCACTTCTACAGCATATAACGAAAAAAAATTACAAATCAATAATGTATTATAAATCTAATAAATCTAACACCTACCAGCTTCAAATTCTTCGTTTTGTTGGGAGCCCTGCCTAGACATTCCTTTTACATAATTATGGAATTTCATTGCCGCCATGAGAAAGTTCTGGTATATGTTCAACAAGATGTTTTCCTTGGTATTCAACGAAGCGTCATAAAAGATATGATGACACTTTGTTGTCACAGATCTAGTTCAAAAACAAAAAAAAATCGTATTAGATAAAAGATATAAAGAAAATCATATTAAAATATCGTTACGCTTACTCGAGCATTTTATGTTTTAAAAATTCACCATGGCTTCCTTTCTTTATAGTCATATTCAAGATATTGGAAATATCTGATCAAGTCATTAACAAGCATTAGTAAAATCATTAAAGTCAATTAAATTGAAGACCTAAATATAATACTTACGGGTGTTTAAGTATCGAGAATAATCAGCCTTGATATTCAAGGTGCGGGTGTTAAGGAGCAAACCACACCATGGAAAATCTTTATAATATAATAAATATATTAATAAACAAATGAAAAATTTGTAAATTATGTTTTAGGATGCTTACCGAAATTATCAGCTTTCTTTATTATTTCATCGGAGATTTCCAGATCAAAGTTTACCATGCTTTTATTCTTATTAATAATACACCGATATTCAGGTTGCCCTTTGTGCATGGTCGTAATAAATTTTATGACATCCTCCTTGTTTGTGCTAATATACAAGAAATCGTCAATGTAATGGAGCAAAACCTATTAATAAAATAACACATTAATAAGATGATAACAAACACAACCATCTTTAAACAAGTACATACTCCGTCATCGTCTTTTACAAATAGGAGTTCGGACCGCTCCATAACTCCATAATAAATGCTGCATAATAACGATGATAATATTGACCCCTGCGGAATGCCTACCCTTTGTAAATAATATTTGTTTTCGGACTATTCACACAAAGTTAGTAAATTGAATTAATAAAAGTAAGGATCTTTTGAAAATACTTGTTTACCTTTATAACGTTATGTTGAATATGCTCTTCCAGCTGTTCAAGGACGTCTCCTAGATCCTTATATGATTCTCTTACGTTCTCAACAAGGATTGCATTCTTATATCTCTGAGCCAATTCATTAGCATATTTTGGAAAAATTACAAATTCCTCTATAATAATTGATAAAGGAATGATGTAAGAAACAACAAATAGAATTTCTAATAATTAATACATCAAATAAATTTACCTCCATTATGAACATAATGACCATTCCTTCTACGAATTTCGCCCCCTTTTGGATGAACCATTTCATACCGGTTTACTACATATTGTGACTGAATCTAGGATTAGGAGATATCTATACTAGCATTATTATATTAATAATAACAAATGAATAATTAAAGTATACTAACTTCGGTGAAAACATTGGCGTGAATTATTTCCATGAGCTTATTGTGGTCAATCGATTCAAAACAGCATTTTACATCAACTTTAGCAAAATAAAGCTCAAAATTGTCGTTATTAACTTTATTAACCAAATTCTGCTTATACCGTTTTAAGCAGTCTTGGACTTCATTATAACTAAAAACAGATCCACTCAATAACAATGGGTTGTTTTTCTTTATTTTTTTTTTTTTTTTTTTAAAAAAAAAAAGATTATTAAAATACGTTAAGTTTAGTAGTAATAAGATTGAAAACTTTACCTTTTCATGCTTTAAAATTTGAAAAGTTGTGTTCAAAATAGCATTAATTGATTGTGGCTTTTTCGAACCTTGACGAGTAGTTTTGCTTGATAGATCTACCTTTTGAATTAAACATAATACATTCTTTAAGTCTATGTCTCATCAAACAAGAAAGTAAAGAAAATCGTCTTACATTTTTACACATTGGACGTCTCATATTAACAATAGGTCTAAGCTTCCCTTTATTATCTTTAGGAACAAATCTTACTTCAGAACAACCCAATGTCTTGCCTTCTAATATTTCAGGTACTATCTCTGATGGGATCTCTTCAAATACAGAACCTAACAAGGGTTCAATACTTCGTTTAGACATCTCTGACCAAACTTCTTGTCGATAGTAGAACAGCCTATATTTTTCCGTTATGCTATGCGTTATATGAAAGTTTATCTATATATATAATAGAGGAACATCATTAAGATTTTGCGGTTATCAGCGTACTAGTAAAAAATATTTTCGTTTACCTTAAGAAGCGGGATTACAACACATTCGAAAGTCCACCAGACAAATTCATGCAATATCTCAGAGCGTTTCAACGCTTCCAATTTATTGCAAGAATTTTCACCACCAGGTGGCACAAGCCATTGGCATTCCTTGATCTATTATTTAGGAACAATTCACTTAACAAGGATCGTTAAATCTTAGATATAATAATGAAATTAAACAATGATGTAGGCCAACCTTAAAACCTAGAAGAACTTCATGCATCGACAAAGCTTCAAAACGACGACGCTCAATAATAACTTTGACCATTTTATAAATTACGGTCTTGTTATTTTTGCCACCCCAAAATTCTAGTGGTATTATAAAATCCAATATTGATTTAACAAACTTTGCAACCTATTAACACATTAATATTTCTTTATCAGAAACTAAAATATGAATAAAATTCAGGATCAATATGAGAATTTATATTGTAATCATTACTTGATAAGAATTGTTGTAATTCGAATTGTTTTCATCTGCATTTGTTTCGTCTAAGAACTAATAATATTAAGTATTAATACGATTTTTATAATATAATATAATAAGAATCAAATGTTAAAGGAATTAATTACTTGGATTGGACAGTTCTGGTCAAGTAAATTTTTATAATGACAAATTTTATGATGTTTGATTATGCGATCAACATACGGAAGAATATGTTGTAGACGATCCGGAATTTCATAATGCGAATCCTAGTTTAATACATTCATTGCGTAGTTATACTCGGAATTTTTAAATCTTCAAGTGTGAAAGATAAGTAATTCTAATTAAGATACTTACATTGAGTTTCCTATTAATATAAATGTGATGTAATGAATCGGGAGATGAAGCTCCTTCATTAGTGAATGCGTTCCTGAGGCCAAATTGTCTTGGAAAAATATGACGTGTCACGGAATCTAACATAACGTCCTCTTTAGAAAACTTAGCTACGTTAAGGATGTCTTAAATAAATACTTTTAGTCAATATTTCTTGCGCTATGATAAGGCAGAATCTTATAAAAATACATTAAAATACAATATTTACGTTCTTTCGGAAGGCCATAACAAAGGCCATTGTTATTATAGGTTGGAGAACTAAAAAACATGATGGACCGGGAAAAGCACAAACTTGATAAAGAAACCGTGTTAGATATTTTCAAAACTTTGCGGTCGTTCAAAACAATTGCTTTAGAAGAGGTTTCTTTGTTCTGATTTGCATCCTCTATTGAGCGTTTCCTTTGAGTCTTAAGATAATTATCTTCATTTGACACGGCCAACTCATTATCGACATTGGAAACATTTGATATAATATCTTTAGTTTCTTTGACATCCCTTGATATTGTGCTTACTTTAACCACTTCGTGATTATTCAAAATGATAGCCTTGTAAGAATTTTCTTGAACATTCTCGATTGGACGCTTTTTCGGAGTCACTGGATTTTTATTTTCATCAAACATGGTAGACTCGTCGCTAACCCCAACTTGATATGATTCTGTATCTTCTTTCCTAGTCTTTTTATCGGAATGCATTGCATCCATAATTTTGAGAAACATTCCTTTAGTCTGTTCTTTAAACTTGGCGTAATTTGATGATGCATCTTCAATTTTTGGTTCGACAGAGATTGATTTCATGCTTTCATTTTCAGTATCTTCTTCCTTCATCTCTTTGTTAGGAAGCATAGCTTCTATAGGACTCGGTTCTTCTATCCATGTCCTGACCTTGTCGTTTAGCCCAGTTGAAGCGTTATCATTTGAGATTAGTAGTTTCCCTCCTTTGCTAATGCTACTAGATTCATTCGCATCATTAATCATATCAATTTCAGAACTTGTAGAACACAGCGTCGTGATTTGTGAACTTGTCTCATATGTACTTTGAGAGAAAAAAAGAGTATCATTTTGTGAGCTACTCTCAGTAGTGGTTTGAGAAGGGAGCGATGACATCGAATCATAACTTTGTGTAAATGCTTTATTTTCTTCTTCATGTAGCTTTCTGAAAAAGGTAAGAACATCGCTTCGACGTTTAGAGATGGGATTGATGTCCTGCGATAGCATACTCTTCCAGGAAGTAGTTCGATCGCTTGTAAGATCATTTTGGCTGACATTTTGTGACCCAATTATACTAGAACTCTGAAAATACGAATAACCATCTTGAGTCTGAGAAGGGCTTGAAGTAGAAATTTGTGGGCTAGGAACTGGACCAACCTAGATGTCATTGTGGTCAAAATGATAATTTTCAAAAAAATGAACAAATTAAATTTTCACGGATAAAATACTTTTTTGTCGTAACATTAAATTTTTTGTACCATTTTAAAGATGATCTTTATCTGTCGTGGCCACACATGAATATTTATTTACCTCATAAACTCGCTTTTTGTTCTTAGAAGATGGCAAGCTTTGTGGTATTGGCAAATTGCTTATAGCTTGTCCTGCTAATTGAACGTAGCATCCATTTTGAAGTTCAAGGAATATAGAAAAATTGGTCAATAAGAAAATCATAGGTTCATGGCCGATCCTATTTATTTGATAATATAAATTCATCAATAAGTTTAAAATGATATCATAATTTACATATGGAACATACCTCATATATAGTTTCAACCAGGCCCGTGATTTTCTCATATAATCAACTGTGGAGTTGATGCCGGTTAATCTAAATCCTTGTAAGTTCAAAGCTTTTGGCCTAGCAAATCCAAAACGTACCACGTTACTGGTCGACTTTTTGTCAGACCGATTAACCAGGATAGCAATGGCCTGGTTTATAGTCTACAAATTAATGTCATTCTTATTATTATTGCCTTTACGAAAACATGGGGGCGCTGATATTAAAATCGAGTTACAAATCTTCTTTTTGATTTTAATAGCATATGGCCCAAATATTCCTCAAAACAATATAAATTAAACCATTTTAAAATAATACAGAGTCAAGGCCAGAACCTCTCTTAGAGTCCAAATCTTGTTGCTCCCTCGTAATTCGAGGAAAACTTTGGGTTGTGTCAGCAGTTATAACTGTGTTTCTAAGAAGTTTCTTATATTCGGATTCATCATCTTCCTTGAGTAACTCGACGTTTTCGTCATGGTGGAGTCGAAGAAAGTCGAGTAAAAAAGTAAGGTTCGAATAATAGGCCTTAAGTGTCGTGTTGTTAATTGTAGACATCTTACTGTAATTTAAGGGGAAATTATATCGTGTTTCACTTAAATTTCTTTAATGCTTCTTTAAAATTCCTCCTTGGAACAGAGAAACTAGGTGATCGATCAACTTCGCGTTTTATTATGTAATACGCGTGATTTCATTTCGTGTCACAATTTTATGATAAATGTTGATTGAAGATCCCCAAAATTATAAAAAAAAAATTTTTTTAATCTTTATCATGTCTAACAATAATGTGCCTCGTGTAGCTGTTGGTGTTCTCTATAGTCAAGAAGATCGTGATACTGCTTTATCTGTTACTTCAGCTAAAGAAACAGGCCATGATTTTATAATTCTTCCTATAACGCATTCTGATTATAAACGTTTTTTGTTTGATAAAGTTGAGGATAACAAAGAAAAACGGTTAATGGAAGAGTGGAGAAATGGGAAACCTTTTTTAAAAAATGATTTGATCATACAAAATAATGGTAAATTTGATTTTTAGTCATTCGAAACTTTTCATGATTTTATTAATGTTTTGCAATCATGAAATTTAGAACACGTCGATTATTTGGTTGGAAAAATTTCAGATTGGATCGATTTGGATTCTTCGAATCATCAAGTTAGGACAAATTCCGAAATAGTAAGTAAATCCAATGAATCGTTCATATATTTATGACAAAAACGAATTATCATCAATATTTTCTTTTCATTCATAAAGGCTTTAAATCAACAATTCTCTTGGGCGGCACATTTAGGGTTAACTGCTATCTTTGTACCAACACCAACAAATTCTTTCCTTAATTATGCAAGAAGTTTAAACAAAATTCTTGGAAATTCGACTTATACACATGTTTGTATTCCTGAAAAAAAAAAATAGTGGATTTATTTCTCTTAAAACAAAATAAATATATTCTTACTGTTTCTACTAGATTTGGATGAGAATACCTATAATCAATGAAGATACACCCTATTCTAATGATATTGAAATGTGGGAAAAATGGAACAAGTTTAGGACATTTTGTGAAAATCACCATAAATTGTCTATCGGTAAGGTATTTTTTTATTAGCCTACAAGTTATGACTTTCTAAAACTTATTTTCTTCTTATACTGTAAAATAGCATTGGAATTGTCGGTAAACCTGCCTGATGACGTTTACCTTGAACGATGGTTTGCAGAACCCATCAAGGCTGTCATATTGCCTACAAAAATATTTTTGACTAACGTCAAAGGTTATCCTGTATTGAGCAAAAAGCATCAAGGATTTGTCAAAAAATTAATGAAGGTTTGTATTTAGTTTTCAGATTTATTTATTTTATTAGAAAATATATTTATTTATGTATGTATGTTGCGTATTTGACAACTTTAAATTCACTATCGTTTAGTATAAACCAAGTTTTGTTGTTTTTGACGACATGACTAGTAAACATCAGGATGTAGGATTTGCCGCATATCAGGAATATGTCAGACATATTAATCGCACAATGCCTGAACCTAATCAAATCGAGCAATTTGGTAATGGATACCAAGATTTTCTACAATCTCCTTTACAGGTATTTGGTGAACTTAAAGTTAAAATAATGAAAAATAAATTCTTATTAATTTTCGTTGTATCGTATATAGCCACTTATGGACAATTTGGAATCTTCCACATATGAAATATTTGAAAAAGATCCTGTGAAATATGCACTTTACGAGAAGGTATGAAATCTATAATGTATTTAGTTCGTGGAAAATTATTATGATTCAAAAAAAGGTTTAACCTATTTTATTATGTCATAAGTCTCAATTATCATGTTTTAAGAGTCATTAATATAACTGATTATTTTGTTCTATCTTATTTATAGGCTGTATATTATGCTCTTCTTGATCGTGTTGCACTCGAATCAAATGAAATAACGTAAGATATTCTATATTGAATGATCTTTTGGTGATTTGTTGACTTACTTTTTTTTTCATTTTAAAAGTGTTATTATGGTAGTTGGGGCTGGTCGTGGTCCCCTAGTTACAAGAAGTATAAAAGCGGCGGAGAAAGCAAATCGTAAAGTGCGAATATATGCCGTTGAAAAAAATCCGAATGCATTTGTCATGTATGTTTTATATAATTTAAAACAAGACAGATAGTTTCATCTTGTGAAAATTAATTTTCTAGCTCAATTTATTAGATTACAGAACATGAAATCTGAAGTGTGGGGCGATAAAGTCACAATCGTGTTTGGTGATATGCGTAAATGGAAAGCTCCCGAAAAGGTAAAACAACGGAGCTTTAATTAATTAATAACATTGATTCTTTCTATTGACTATATCCTTCGTAATCTTTTTTTAGGCGGATATTCTTGTAAGTGAACTTTTAGGTTCATTTGGTGATAATGAATTATCTCCAGAGTGTTTGGACGGCGCGCAAAAATACTTGAAACGTAGGTAATTTGCTAAAATCATCTAGATCCTTTTAATTATAGCAGAAATATTTATTTAGTCAAGTTTCATTTTAATTAGCTGATGGGATATCGATTCCGTCTTCCTATAGAACATTCATTTCCCCACTTTCATCATCGAAACTTTATAATGAAGTTTCTGCCTATAAGGATCTCGTACATTTCGAGACACCTTATGTTGTGATGTTTCAATCTGTTACTGAATTGGCAAAACCTCAAGAAATTTGGCAGTTCGAACATCCAAATGGATCGTTTGTAATAGATGAAGAAGGTAATGAAATATAGTCATTAGATTAAATTTGATAGGCTAAATATTTATAAAATCTTGATTTATAGAAAATCCTGTGAATAATTATCATAACACCAGATATTCCAAAGTTACTTTTAATATAACAAATAGTGGAATACTACATGGGATTGCGGGATATTTTGAATCAGTTTTGTATAAAGATGTCACAATGAGTATTCTTCCGGCTACACATTCTGAAGGAATGTTCAGTTGGTTTCCAATATTTTTTCCTTTAAAGGTACATTGAATACTCTCATTTTATTTTTTTCAACGCGTAATTAATTTTTATAATTGATATTCGCAGGTACCGATTTATATCACATCAAATTCAACTTTAAATATTTATTTTTGGAGATTAACTAGCTCCAAAAAAGTATGGTATGAATGGTGTGTAGACGCATCGCTCACAGTAGGATCCGAAACAAAATCATATGGATCTTCCAACATACAAAACGTTGGGGGAAGATCAAGTTGGATCGGACTATAAAATAATATTCAACATGATGATGACTATTTTATAATCGTTGATTAGTGACGTTCCATTAAACGGGTCATTACATTCATTTGCCAATAAGTTAATTACTTACTACAAAGTTCAATTCCGATTAATAATAATAAACTTGCAACAAAAACAAAACTGTTTAATGATCATAAACTTTTTATACAAATAAGTTGGTTTCACACTTTTTCGTCTTGTTAAATTTATAAAAATGAGGAAACCGAATCATTATCGAAAAAATTATGTTATGCGATCACATCCCTACCTATATAATTTTTCAACACCTTGTAATGTGAGAAATTTTGGTACCATACCCGAAGCCAAAAGAGCTGGAGCCATTGATCGTATCGAAAAAGGAGAAACCAAATTAAAGTTGATAACTTTATTTCAAGAGAATATGAATTATATCAAGTTAACAGAGATACCACAAGCGTATTTCTTTAGATTTGATCGAGCATTAGAATATACTGGGAAATTTGTAAGCATGAGGTTCAAATATTTCTATAATTTTTATTTATTAATTAATTATTATATTAAAAAAATTTAAAAGAAATATAGGATTAACGATGAGATGCCAAATATTTTAACACAACACGAAAGTGGAAACGGTCAAGAAATAATTGTTCGATTATCAGAACCATATCAAAAGATGAAACATGATGTTCTGCCGACATTCAATCGTGAATCTGATAATGAAGAAATAAAAGAAAAATCAACTAAATTTCAGGTTCATCGAAATAATGAACAAACGGTTAAGGAATGGTTAAAGGAACTACGACACATTGATGATGAAAAGAAAGAAGATAAGCAAGAGGGTAATAATGATCAAAAGAAGATCAAAGTTAAAGAAATGGTTAATTTACGCATTGTCTTTGATGATGATGATATGAATTCTATTTCCCCTTTACAAAGGGATGTCCTAGAATTTTTGTTTAGGGAATTTCATGAGGATTGAATGGGTTTTATTTCTTTTATGACTATTTTGCATAATTCTCGTACTAAAATATAAAAGATTTTTATTGAATTGTAAAATGAAGACTGTGCTTGGTTATGTTATAAAAAAAAAAAAAAAATTGGTATTGGCATACGCGTCAACTGAATTGTCAAAAATTTTTTTTTTTTTTTAAACTTACGACTTATATAAACCTATTGAGGTTCACAGAAACACCATTCACAATTAAAAATAATCTCTTGTAGTAGGAAAATATAGTTTTTATTCAATGAAAATTATACACAACTATTTTTTTTTTTTAATAAGTATCTAATCTCAGACGCTAGTTATCATATAAATACCTTAACGAGATTCAAACCTCTTGTTATTTAGAATTAGTTAAAAAAGAAAAGGTGATATTACTAACGATGTGAATAAAATATACTCTTTGGATATTTCAGAAATTAAACACTATGTCGACTTCTTTCACAGTCACTACAAGTGTCTTTTATACAAGAGATGCTTGTTGAGAAAAAAAACTCTATATAAAGAAAAAGACCAGATTTTAACTTTAATTAGATAAAACCATAGAATTATTATATGTCGTTGAAAAAAATTTCATCAATAATTAAACAGCCGGGTGGTAAAAAATTACAAGTAATATTTTAATTTCAAAATACTTATAATTTTGGGAATGATTTATGAGGGGTCTCATAAATTGTATATTAAATTCAATATTTGATTTCATTAAGATTTTGAAAAAATTTAATTGTTAATGTTAAATCTGGATCATAAATAACATAAAAAGTTAAATTTTTTTTTTGTCCAGCGATTTCTTCCCATACCATACTGCAAAGCGTCATATGTTTAATTAGAGCAATAACGTTTTCTTTTTGTTTTCCTCGCTGTTAAATCATATGATTGTGTGAATAAATAAACGTAATACGCGTTATTTTTGGAAATATTTTCTTAATAACACAACTATAAAATTTCATTGTTAATATAATAGCGGTTTAGGATGTTATAGAGATTCAAATTTTTTTCTTTTTTTTTTTTAAGCAAGAGCTCACGAATTAAGTAATTCGTTGACAATGATCATACCTTCCCCTGTTTAACAACTTGTCATCTGCAATATGCTTGAAAGTTGCAGTCGCCAATAGCTGCAGACTTTTTGACAGTTGTATGATGCTCAAGTGTGAATAAAAAATCGTTAAGAGCAGAACGGTAGTACAAATTGTATTTTATAAATAGTGTTAAATTCAAATCGATATGACGATTTATTTTCCCTATATTGTTGGTCAAACGATCTTTAATTAGGTCCTTGTCCAAATTCGGATTATTTATACAAATTTATGACGACTTAAATAGAAATTGATACCCCTGATGCCTGTAGTTTTATCATCATCTTTCCTCTCCATAAACCTAAAAGGTATTGGGTAGTAAAGATGTTCGATCATTTAAAATTTTGGAGGCCTCGAAAGTCACAATTACTTGCTCGTCAAGTATTCGTCAACGAGCCTCTACCAGCCGCAAAGCTTGATAAACACGGACGGCCGAAACAACTATATGTTACAAATAAAGTTATCACTTCGAAATACAATATTTTCACTTTTATTCCAAAAAATTTATATGAACAATTCCGTCGCATCGCAAATTTTTTCTTTTTATTGCTGGTCGTTTTACAATGGTTTCCTGAATTCGCTACTATTGAACCTGTGGTGGCAGCATTACCCATGTTCATTATATTGGGTATAACTGCGATTAAAGATGCTTTTGAAGATTTCAAACGTCATGTAACTGATAGATCAGTTAATAATAGAAAAACGTGGACGTTGGGAAATTGGACAAACGTCAACTATGTTGATGGAACGTTTACCTCCTCCAGTAATTTGATGTCATCTTTATTTAGTAAAAAAACTGTCGTTAGTAAACCAGAGGAGGGAAAGGGTCCGGATTGGAAGCAAACCATGTTTATGAATGTACGTGTCGGCGATTTCATTAAATTACGTAATGATGATTTCATTCCAGCTGGTAAGTTCAAACAAAGTAGCCAATGTATCTTTTTTGAATGGCCTTTATAGCTCATTTTATACCTCCAATGTTTTAGACGCGTAAAAAGAAAAAATGATTTTATTTCAACAAATTTTTTTTTTTTTTTTTTTTGTTTCCAACCCGTTTATTGTTTTATTAGACATCATCATCCTTTCAACATCGGAACCTAATTCCCTTTGTTATGTTGAGACAAAAAATCTTGATGGGGAAACAAATCTTAAAATAAGATCAAGTGTTCCAGAGACTGATCATTTAACTACACCAGAAGATTGTGCACAAATTCAGTTCTATGTTGACTCGGAACCTCCTACAACCAATTTATTCAGCTATAATGCTACTTTAGTATTCCCTAAAGGATTACAAGACAGACCACGTTCTCGCAGTGGATCGAAAATTCCAGTTAATTTGAATTCAATTTTATTAAGAGGTTGCGTTTTAAAAAACACTGAATGGGTCATTGGTTTAGTAGTATTTACTGGCACTGATACTAAGCTTTCATTGAATTCCGGTGCTACTCCATCAAAAAGAAGTCGTATCGAAAAAAAGATGAATCCACAAGTGTATGTTTTTGATTCATTCGCGTCATTTTTTATCATACGAAAAATGGTCAATTAAACATATAATTTTACTTTTAGTCTGGCGAATTTGAGTATAATGGCAATTTTGTGTACTTTGTGTGCCATTGGTAGCAAGATTTGGGAAACGAGATTTTTTAGCAGGAGTTCATCATATATCGAGCAAGGAGGTAGAGGTATCGAATTGAATGCCTTCTTAGCCTTTTGGTAAATTCTGTTTTAATTTCTTACGCGATCCTCTCTATTATTTCTTATTAATCCTTTGCTATCTATACTAATTTGTAGCAATGCTTTGATCGCTTTTCAAAACATCGTTCCCATTTCATTATACTTATCAATTGAATTTGTCAAGTCTGTTCAAGTGAGGTTTGTTACATTGCTTTATGTATGACATGTTTAAACAAACCACTTGCGCATCATCTAAATGAATACATCCTCATATCCTTAGGCTTTCTTTATTTACATGGATGATGAAATGCGTTATGCTGAAACAGATACTCCTTGCATTCCTAAAAATTGGAATTTGTCAGATGATTTGGGTATTATATTCTTTATTAAACAACGACAACATAATTTCTTATTTATTAGAAGTTTAATGACCATTCCTTTGTTTCATTAATGTTAATAACAGGTCAAATCGAATACATTTTCTCTGATAAGACTGGCACTTTAACACGAAATGTAATGGAGTTTCGAAAATGTTCTATTGGTGGAAAGGCGTATCATGGTGAAACCTTGGATGGTGACACTGAAGTTGGTACATCCACGCCGAGTATAATATTGAATGATCATGAAAAACCAACACCAATCCTAATTCCAAATTCGACAACTGGTTCTCAATCAAATGTTCCTAAAAATTCTGGCTTTTCTAAGAATAATAATGAAAATAAAAAGGAGTCAAAAGAAAATTTAACGAAAAAGGCTTTTGCTGATAACGAACTTTTGCGAGATATGGAATCTGGCGATCCTTGTCACGCAAAGACTATTAATGACTTCTTCACCCTTCTCGCCATTTGTCATACCGTGCTGGTCAGTACAAATGCTGATGGAGAACCACAATATAAAGCCCAATCACCTGATGAATCTGCACTTGTACAGGCTGCGAAAGAAATGGGTTATACTTTTCGTTCACGTGAACCTGATAATATTGTCATTACTGCACCAAGCGGTAAAGAAGTTCATTTTGAGTTATTGAATGTTCTTGAATTTACAAGTACAAGGAAAAGGATGAGTATTATTGTGCGATCACCGTTGGATGGTCGTATAACCTTATATTGCAAAGGGGCCGATAATGTTATTTTCGAGCGATTAAAAAGTGGTCAGGATTATAGGTTGAATATAACCGGCGAGCACTTGGAAGAGTTCGCAAAAGAAGGTAACTAATTTTTTTTTTTTTGCTTGGAACTGTCCTTTTATTTTTTTATATATATATATGAACCTTTTGGGTCAAATCTTTTTTATAAAAATAGGTCTTCGGACGCTTTGTTTAGGTTACGCGGAAATTGATCCTGGTTTCTATCAAAATTGGATCGGAGATTATCGTGAAGCATCAACTTCACTTACGGATCGTGATAAAAGGATTGCAACTGTTAGCGATAGAATTGAAAAGGATTTGATATTACTTGGTGCCACCGCGATCGAAGATCGCTTGCAAGAAGGTGTACCGGAATGTATTGCAACTCTTAAACGCGCAGGTATTAAAATATGGGTCTTGACGGGTGATAAGATGGAAACTGCAATAAGTATCGGATTTTCAACTTGCTTATTAAACCGAGACATGAACCTTATTATTATTCGTGGAGGTGCTTATGGAGAGTCGGGTAGCGCTTATGAACAAATGCGTAGCGCTGTTGAAAAGTTCTTTCCTACCGATCAGGATATTAAAAATAATATGCGGTCTGTACAAGCCCCCCCCTGTTACACCAGTTAATAGTGTCCCTCGATCATCGATCTCCCATTCGCATGAGTTGAGCACAGGAGGGGCCTTTTCTTTTATGTCAGGTATTTCGAATACGCAAAGGCTCGGAGGACATGCTTTAATAATTGATGGAGTAGCATTAAAGTATGCTTTGGAAGAACCTTGGAGTAGAAATTTATTATTGGATCTTGCTTGTCGATGTAAAGGTGTTGTTTGTTGTCGAGTGTCACCATTACAAAAGGCTAAAGTTGTGGAATTAGTCAAGTGTGGAAAAAACGTGATGACTTGTGCTATCGGTGATGGAGCTAACGACGTTAGTATGATCCAGGCTGCTCATATTGGTATAGGAGTTGCAGGAGAAGAAGGATTACAGGCTGTCATGGCATCAGATTATGCTATAGCACAATTTCGATATCTCACTCGTCTTTTATTGGTTCACGGACATTACGCATACATTCGCAACTCTTCCATGATCCTCA